GGGTTTGTGTTTTGGTTCCTTGTGGTTGTTTCCTGGTTTTTTTGTGGCTATTATTTGGGTAAAATGAGGGGTTGTGTTTGGCCAATAGAAGGGGACAGGGCTGGGCAATATTATGGGTGGTTTTGGACATATGGGCTTGGGTTATTGTGAGGGAAACATGGGCAGGAATGGTTGGCTAGTGGTGGGTCAGGATTTTGGCCCTTTGTGGGTGTTTATGTTGGGATTGTGAGGTTTAATTGGCCAGGAAATAAAAGGAAAGAGAGAGGGTTTTATTTGTTTATTGGAAAGGCTTGGAAGAAGGAAAATAACAAAAACAAAAGGTTTTGGTTTACACATTCTTATTTTTGGCCAGGGGCTTAAATGAGAGTAGGAAAAACTTTATTTTGAAACGAAGTAAATGGCAAGGAGTTTTTGGATATTTTGGGTTGGATTGGACGGGGTGGGAGTTGGCCTGTCGAACCCTCGGGTCCGAAGCTATTCTGGCCTCTTGGGTTGAAGGACTCGGAATTCTCACTAAAACGGATCATAATGCTAGAAATTAAGTCCTCTGGTTTCTGCGAGGGTGTAGGACATGGGGAGGGTATGATAGGGCCAGGCCCGGATATAACACCTGATCAAAAGTGCAAGTGGGATCTCAAATTCAGAAAAATTGGTCACCTTGATTAACAAACCTATCTCGAATGGAATGAAAACATTACTAAGACATAACTTCAAAAATCAAATACAACATTTGATAGCCAGTTGTTAAACATTTTAGTTATCTCTCATTTTATTTAACTTGATAAAAAATCTCCTTATGTTGCAAAATGATTTGTTTTAATTATCTACGAAGTTTATATGAATATAATAACTAAGCCAAATAAATCCATACAGTACATTCATGGATATCTTCTAAGATTTAATGGTCTTCTAGTGCCTTAATTGTCCCAAATTAAGGTTACTCTTTACTATTTTTAGGGTTATACAATATGTTCTTTCTTTACATATGTGCCTTCTTTATCATTTGAAAAAATAAATAGTCAAGTCACATTTTCTTCTATATTACTCTTGATGTTGTTTTTAAAAATATATACATTTTATTTTTTTAATTATACACCAATTTTCAAATAAACAACAACAACAACCCAGTTAAATTGAATTGAAAATAACTTCAAACAAACATCATAAACCATAAGTGGAAGTGTGGAACCTTAATTCAAGACACAGGAAGTACAATAATATGTAATTGGAGTATACTCTTCCATGTTATAGAAGTATTTGATGGGTGAAAGGGGAAAAATGAAGAATCAATTGATGGACTTTGCACAATACAGTGAGTATGACCATTATAGATTGATCAAGATGCCAACTAGAATCATGATAGAAACTACAAACTACTCCATAGTTTTATATGTCGTTATTCTTTTGGTATCTATGAAGCCATCTTAAAGAAACTCGAGCAAGCAATGGGATTTTTTATATTGTAAGGCTTAAAATGAAGCACATTTTAAACACAGACTGACTTCTTACATACTACATTACAGATTTTGATTACTTACTGCATAATGTTTTTATATAACCCTTATCATCTATCAATCCAATAGTCTATGAAAATATGATACATAATGCATAAATTGAAATAACAAGATCTGAATGGTTGATGTCTACAAAATCCCACAGACCATATTATGATGAGATTTCCTAATGCTCTACATTATGCAAAGTCTATAACCTTTCAGTAGAATGCAATAATGTTTCTTCACCGTATAATTGGCTTTTTAAACAGCATTATCAAGTCTTAAGCACAATACTGCACTAGGTCATACTCACTGTATTGTGCAAAGTCCATCAATTTATAGGTTATATTCATCTTATCAAGTCTAGCAAGAGGTTCTCAGAACCATGACTCCTGATTCATATACACACACTTTCTCCTATCTACTTAATCTCTTTGAGTTTATTGCAAAAGTATAAATTCAGTGTTTTGGTACCGATAAACGTGGTGTTGGATATAAGGGGAAAATACGTGGGTCAACATATACCAATTAGAGGAAACTCACCTCCTATCACCATGACCACCTCTGGGTCTGCCGTCAAAGCCATCCCTGCGAGAACGCTTGTATGGTGGATTTGGAGATGAGCGTCGGACAGGGGAATGACCTCGACGATCCCTGTAAGGTGGCGGAGGAGGGCTAGGGCTAGGGCGGCGACGTTTTGCATCACGCTCCCGAGCTGATGGAGGCGGAGTCCGATTGCGATCATTGTTGTCCGAACGACCACTTCGTCTATCGAAATCCCGCTCATCCCTGCGCTCGCGAGACTCCCGGTCGCGGCCACGCCTGGGAGGTGGAGGCGGAGAAGATTCGGCATCTTCCGCAAAGTTGGTGGTGTTCTCCTTGCTTGGCTCGCGACCAAGGTCCGCGACATACTCTTGGGCGTCCATTACTTCAGCCATTGATGGAGGCGTTCCGAAATGCGAATGGTGGAGTAAACGGTACTGGTTAACTAAAACCCTAGAACATTAGCTTTGACGTAAGCCTACTGGGGACTGTCCCTTGGTTGTTGTGACTTGTGAGTCCAGTCCCTTCAACCAGCCTTGCCACGTCGGACGGTCGGAAGCATGGTAAGGAATTCGGGTCATTTCCCGGCGTGTGCAGATTTGGTTCTTTATGGGTAAGGGCCTGTTTGGAAATAGCGTTAGCGATTAGCATCAGCGTTTTGGATAAAATTTTGACGGTGCAAATTAATTTGAAAACGCTAACGCTAAAAGCTGTCCGTAGATAGCTTTTTGAAAACGCTAACGCTAATCGCTAAAGCTATTCCCAAACAGGCCCTAAATAGAATATAGTCGTGTGTAATCTTGTTTGATTTGTCTTAACATATAGATTATTACTCCCTCCGTCCTATAATGATCTTCCCAGAGCACTATTCCAACTTCACGGGAATTTATATTTATTTGTGTTTTTTCAAGGCCTATATAATAAAATAAAATATTCTTGTCACAATTTGTTTTGTTGAACTTTTGGTGTAGTTTTTAAATATGTATGTTTTATTTTTTATTTCTATACCAATATTTAAATAAAATAGATTGAAAAAACTTGGGATTTTTCTTCGTTTTGCGAACCGGGAAGATCATTATAGGACGGAGGGAGTAATATATAATTTTTATAATTTTTTAATATACAAATTACATTATTTAATGAAACAGAGTAGCCAACTCCATTTCAAGTAATTATTTAACGAAACGGAGTAGCCAACTCCGTCCCTCTTTTTTTATCAATTTTTTTTCTTAATTTTTCAACTTTGTTCCTCAATTGTTTTCTTGAACTCCATTAGGGTTAATTTTTTTTAAACTCCGTCCCTCTTTTTTTTTAAATCAAATTTTTTTCTTAGTTTTTCAACTTTGTTCCTCATTTTTTAAAAAACTCCATTAGGGTCATTTTTTTTAAAAACTCCGTCCCACTTTTTTTTTTAATCAATTTTTTTCTCTTAATTTTTCAACTTTGTTCCTCATTACGTCGTGGATGAAGACCCTACTATCCCATGCAAGACTGAATTGAAAAAACACCCGGAATCAAATGATCCACGGGGATACTATAAAAGTTCCCATTTCACAAAGACCAAAAATATATTTAACCTTTTTTATTTTTATACTCCCTCCGTCCCTAAATATTCACAACATTTGCTTTTTCAGCAGTCGCGGGAACTTTTGTTTATTTCGACGTTTTCATTGGTTATTTGATAAAATAAAATATTCTTGACACCTCTTATTTCGAAGAACTTTTCATGTAGTTTTTTTTATATGTAATTTTTATTTTTTATTTCTTTACCAATATGTAAATAAAATGAATTGAAAAAACTTGATATTTTGCCTCGGTAATAGAAATGTGACAAATAATTTGGGACGGAGGAAGTATTAGATTGTCATTAAAATAGTTTTAAAAGTAAAAGGATTGTAAACGTTGTTTTGAGAGTGACATCCATTATATAATTTCGTCGTACCAATTTATGAAGTATTAACGAGTACTCCCTCCGTTCCTAAATATATCTTACATTTACCTTTTCAACAGTCGCAGTAACTTTTGTTTATTTCTACATTTTCATTGGTTATTTGACGAGATAAAATATTCTTGACACATCTTATTTTGAAGAACTTTTCATGTAGCTTTTTTATATGTAAATTTTATTTTTTATTTCTATACCAATATGTAAATAAAAGAATTTAAAAAATTTGATATATTTAGAGACGGGTGGATGGAGTATAAAAATTCATAAACAAATGGATAACCATGCAAATGGTTTATTCTCTTGCTTAGAGCAACTCCAATGGGAGGGGTAAATGAAGAGGTAAGATATCATAATTGTCATATTTGCCTTTTCTTCACACAAATCAAACCTCCAATGGAGGAGGTAAATCAAAAGGTAATTTACCTTCTTCTATTTCGGAGAGGTATCTTTACCTCCTCAAATACAAAAGGTAAAATATTTGATGCCAAAGCCAGGTAATCTCCGGTGCATCGTCGATCTTCTATTTTCAAAATTAGACGGAATTGTGAGATATGAAATTAAGAAACAAATGGAGTGAAAGAGGAGTGAAGATAGAGTTTTGTATTTGGGGATGAGGGAGACAAAAAAGTAACTATATAGAATGGCGCTCGGGACTCGTCTCTTCCCCTTGTGCGACTACTATGATTGCCTCAAATTAATCTCCTGAGTCATTAATCTAAAATTTGTAGAAAAGTAACATTTGACAAGAAATTAAAAAGAAATAAATTTTGAAATTAACCCTAAAATGTCTTTTAATTTGGGAAAAGTATGTTTACCTTTTCTAATACCCTCTCTCCATTGGAATCAAATAATTTTTTAGAAGGTATAATCACCTTTTTGAGAAGGTAAAAGAGTAGAATACCTTCTTCTTTTGCCTTCTTCCTTTGGAGTTGCTCTTAAAAAAGCTTTTTTTTTTGCGTGTTGGCTTAGGGATAGATAATGGATGGGCTTATTGGATTTGGCAGGAAAGACGGAGTTGGCTATTGCTTTTAATATTTAGATGAAACGGAGTTAGCTACTCCGTTTTGATAATTAATTCCAAATAGAAATGGATTTGCTAACTCCGTATGGCACTGCAAGGAAATTTTTCTCTAACTTACACTGTCAGGAAGACAATTTTTTTTAGATACATATACCGGTCATGTGCTCAAGGAATTCCAGCAACCAACATATGTAAAAAAAAATTCACTCCTAAGACGGTAAGTTAGATAATTTTTTTCTTGCAGTGCAATACGGAGTAGCCAATTCTGTTTCAACTCGAAAATTTTAAATAAAACAGAGTAGCCAACTCCGTCTCATTTTATTTATATGTCATATGTTTTAGCCAACACTGTGTCAGTTTATTTATTAAAATAAAAAGTCATACAGAGTAGCAAACTCCGTTTATGTCTAAATTAATTTCAGACGGAGTAGGCTACTCCGTCTCCGTATTCGATAACCCCAACCCTTGGCCCCTTCCATCCATCCATTCCAACAAGAGCAGCGCCAAAAAAAAAAAAAAAAAATCCGACGAAGAGAGAGGGATCGTCGGAAGAAGGGAATTAACCGCCACCACCGGAAGAAGACAATACAAACTACCCTACTCCGTTTCATGGAGGTATTTCTTATTTTTTTTACTTAATTTATATAAATATTTATCATTTTATGATAATATTGAGATATATATAGTTTGTTTTATAAAATTGCTTAAATTATATAGGATTTATACAAAGTTCATGATTTTTTTATTGTAATCGATATATATTATTAGAGCTATTATGTTTAAGTTTTTGGGTGACAGCTTATTTCCCAACACGATGGGAAATAAGGTTAGTTTGTATCTGTTGGAGGTGATCATGGGTGACTCTGTGGTGGTGCGGGGTCGTGCCATTGGTGCTGCGGCTTTTAGTTTCTTGTATCGTAGTATAGATCGTGCTAGCATGACACATGTAGCATAGATTGGAGGGTGTCTTGTGCTGTTACAGCTTTGGGCATGGGAACGTCTGCCTATGACTAGACCTAGGAGCGTTGTACCATTGGAGCAGCTGGTTAATGCTCCACATGGAGTCAAGTATTTACAATTTTTTTTATGTCTATCATGTATTCACTCAGTTTCTTTTATTCATGTAATGTTTCATCCTCCACTGGTAGATGGGTGTGTTATTGAAGAATTGTGATTTTCTAATGATCATTACAGAGATTCCGCCTCCCCTTATATACGTGTAGGAGGGGTAATAATAAGGAAACAATATTAATTGTGAATCCTATACAATCAAGGAACTTACTATAAATAATAACAATAATAAATATGTAATATACACTTAACATATTTAACATGCTACCAACTCCGTCGGTGACCTCCGAACTCCAAGGTTGTGTCGAAAGTCGGTGAAGATTAGTGATGGCAGCCCTTTGGTGAATGTGTCTGCAAATTGAGAGGAGGAAGGTACATGAAGCACTCGAACTTGACCAAGCGCTACTTTATCTCTGACAAAGTGAATATCAACCTCGACATGCTTGGTACACTGATGCTGAACTGGGTTGGAAGATAAGTAAACGGCACTGATATTATCACAAAACACTACGGTGGCTTGGCGAAGGGGTTGATGAAGTTCGAGGAGAAGATTCCGAATCCAACTGGTCTCAGAGACGGCATTTGCAACAGCTCTATATTCGGCCTCGGCACTTGATCTGGAGGTGGTTCCTTGCCGCTTAGAGGACCATGAGACCAGGTTGTCCCCTAGAAATACACAGTAACCGGATGTGGAACGTCGTGTGTCTGGACACCCAGCCCAATCTGCATCAGAATAAGCCTGATGAAGAGAATCCGAGGAAGTGCGAGATAGAGTGATCCCATGAGTGGTGGTGCCCTGAAGATAGCGGAGAACCCCTTTCAAAGCAGTAAGATGAGTCGTCCGAGGGGAGTGAAGATAGAGGCAGAGCTGCTGGACGGCATAAGTGAGATCAGGCCGAGTGAAAGTGAGATACTGAAGAGCACCAACAAGTGAGCGATAGAGAGATGGGTCGGCAACTGGTTCCCCATCAGTAGCAGACATTTTTCCTTTGGAGTCCACCGGTGAAGAGATGGTCTTACAGTGGAGCATGCCTGCTCTATCCAGAATTTCGTGAGCAAACTGAGTCTGATGCAAGAAAAGTCTCTGTTTGGTGCGCTGAACATTGATGCCGAGAAAAAAAATTAAGCTCCCCCATATCGGTCATGGAAAATTCCCCCTTTAGTCGCTCCGTGATCTGAGACAAAAGCATAGTTGTCGAGGCTGTGAGAACAATGTCGTCAACATAGAGAAGCAAGTATGCCATGTGCGGCCCACGTGTGTAGACAAACAGAGAAGTGTCTGTCTTGCAACCCTGAAATCCAATGTGCTGTAAGAAACCAGCAAACCGTTGATACCAAGAGCGAGGTGCTTGTTTCAAGCCATAGAGAGCCTTCTTAAGTTTGCAAACATGATGTGGTTGTGAAGGATCCTCGAACCCAGAAGGCTGACTAGCATAGACGGTTTCCTGGAGATGGCCATGGAGGAAAGCATTTTTGACATCCAGCTGATGTATGGGCCAGCCCCGAGAGAGGGCCAAACTGAGGACAATGCGTATGGTGGCCGGTTTTATGACCGGACTGAACGTTTCGCTGTAGTCGATGCCATAACGCTGGTTAAACCCTCGGACTACCCAACGAGCTTTGTGCTTGGACAGATCACCTGTGGGGCCAAACTTATGTCAAAAAAGCCATTTCCTAGTGATTACATTTTGGGTGGGGGAGGGGGGGGGTACTAATTCTCATGTTTTTTTCTTTATCAAAGCATTAAATTCATCGCACATTGCATCATACCAGTTAGGATCTTTCAGTGCGTTACGGTAGGTGGGGGGAAGTGGGGAGATATGAGCTGTGGTGTTGAGGTTTAGAATGGATTTTGGGCAAGAAATGCCGGATTTGGCGCANGTTGTCAGAGTAAACTGACGAACAGAAATAAGGTTGTGGACGATGTGGGGGGAAATAAGAACATTATTGAGGGATAAGGGAGGGGAGGTGGAAAAAGTGTGTTTACCAACTGCCGTAGCATGCACTTTGGATCCATTACCTACAGTGATGAAAGGTGACGAATTTAAAGTTTTAGAATAAACATGAGAAATAGTATCTGGGTCGGAGGCGATGTGGTGAGATGCATCGGTGTCCATGAGCCATGTGGGTACACGGAGGGTCATTGTATCAAATTGATGGGCTAGAGCTGTGGGGTTGGGGGTGGTGAGGGTGGCGGGTAAGGTCCATAGGGGTGGGCTGTGGGGTATGCGGGCTGGGGGGTGTGGGGTATACAGGTTGGGGGGTATGCAGAATGGGTGGGGTGTAGGGGTAGGGATTTGGGTAATTTGGATATGTGGGTTGGGTGTAGTAGGCTTGGGCCGGGTATTGGGGTGGGTTGGGGCGTGGGTCAAGGAGTCCTGGGCTCGGGTTTTGGTATGGGATTTGCCAAGGTACGTACTGTCTAGGATTTTGCTGAGGGTTTGCTCCAGCATTCCGACCCCGACCGCGACCGTGAGTCGGCCTTCCACCGCGTCCGCCATACGCCGGCCCTCGTCCGCCGTGCCCTTGGGACGGGCCACTACCACCGCTGCCATGCGCGTAGTGCTGACCTCTACCGCCGCTGGTGCCCGGAGCGCGACTCCTTCCTCCGCCGTGAGCTGCAAGTGTCGTGCCATTCTCGCTAGTGGTGGCGAGAGGTCGTCGTTGTCCCTCCAGGAGTAGGAGAGCCGATCTAGTTTCCATAAATGTCGGTGGCGGTTTCTGAAATTGAAGAAAGGAGGCTTTGTTGCCTAGGTCATTCGGGAGTCCACAAAGGGTTTGCAAAACAAGTTGATTTTCTGTGACCGGGGCATCCACATCGTCAAGCCAATCCACAATGTTCCGAAGGGTCTGACAGTAGGTAGTTATAGTAGACGTGCCTTTGACGGTATTGTAAAACTGTTGCTCCAATTGCATTGCTCTAGCCGCCCTGTTATCATGGAACAGGTTGTGAATAGCTTTCCAAAGATCTGCAGTAGATGTTGTGGAGGAGATGATGAGATCTGACACCTCATCGTTGACGGTGGAGAGAATCCATCCTTGGATGAGGGTGTCTAGTTGAAGCCACTCGATGTCATCTTTTCCGGTAGAAGTTTTCTCACCGAAGAGGAAGCCTTCAAGATTGAAGCGCCGAACCAAGAGAAGAAATAGGCGGCTCCATTTTTTGTAATTTGGTTCCGAGAAACTGAGGGTGATAGGAACATGAAGTTTGACGTTTGACACCGTCGTAAATGCAAGACGGGGGTATTTGTAACAGGAATTGGGGAAGAGGTTGATTTCTCCGCAGACATGATAAGAGGATGAGAGAGGGATATTTGATAGAGAGGGTTCGGCAAGGATCTACCGGCTGAGGATCTGCTGGCTAAGAGAAGAGGGTGCCGGCTAAGGATCTGCCGGCGTGACAGAGAGGGTTCGGCGAGAGAGAGGGGAAGAATACGGCGGCTGAGGGTTGGCGCCGGGGGAGAGAGAGTCAGGGGTGAGCGCCGAGGAAGAAGGTCGACGCTGGCAGAGGGTGAAGCTGGGCTGCAATTATTGGATCTGGACGGTCGATGCTGCACTAGGAAGAGCGCCGATTGTGAGGAAGGGCCGGTGAAGATCGCCGGCAAAGAGGGGAAGGGTGATGCTGGCTTCTGCGATTCGGCCGGCGCTGATGTCTTCTGCGATCGGCAGAGGCGGGGGCTAGGTTTTTTTTCTTTTTTTAGAATGACTCTGATACCATGAAGAATTGTGATTTTCTAATGATCATTACAGAGATTCTGCCTCCCCTTATATACGTGTAGGAGGGGTAATAATAAGGAAACAATATTAATTGTGAATCCTATACAATCAAGGAACTTACTATAAATAATAACAATAATAAATATGTAATATACACTTAACATATTTAACAGTTATCATCGGTGGTCAGATTGTACGACACACTCCTTACGAGGATACAGGGACCAACTTCATAGGTTGCTCGAGGGAGAGGTAAGTACTAAGCACATCACAATGTTATGCATACATATTTTATTTTAAATGTCTATCGTATTCCTTTTTTATGTATGCAGTTTGTTTGGATGTCGTATCCGAATCTCGATACCATACCACCCTTTTGTTCAGTTGGACTCCGAACATGGATATCACGCATCGCTTTGATCTATGGCTATGTCGTGGAGATCCGGATCGGTTTTGCAGACAGTTAGGTGCCCTCCAACGTGTTACTCTCGATGTTGTGTATGATCGACACCTACATAACATTAAGTCGAGCACTATGGAGCTCAGTGACAGTGAGAGACATTATCTAGATGTATGGGGGGATGTTACGCTGCACATGTACCGATGGAATTTGGGATGCTAGATGCCATACCTGAGTATCGTCAGTGGTATTACCTCCATGGTCAAAGACAGATAGGAAACCCTGCACATCAGCACGGAACATGCTACGTCCACATTTCTCTTGAGCTACATACCGCAGTATGTATTACTTATATTCAATTTTTTTTGTTACAAATTTGTATGAGACTAATCATGGTATTGTGTGTAGCTATCTTGTATGACGGATTGCCATAAGCGTCTTGATCTAGGTAGGCACCTGGATGGTTTTGTACCTTCTCACGAGGTAGTGCAAGTTCATGACTTGTTAGGGGGTGTATACGTGCTCTTGGACATGTATCTATCCTCGAGCATCCACAGGAGCTGCCAGTATTCGGAGAATGGCAGATAGAAGGCGAGATGCACCTGATGTAGGGGTTAGGCGTGGCGGGCGGGGTCAGCGCAGAAGGGATATACTCTGTGGTGGTGGATGGGTCGTCCAACATTGCTCAGCGGGAGACATTTATGGTGAACTTAAATGCACAAACATGTAACTGTGGTCAATGGGTAACATTTCACCTCCCGTGCAGTTATGTCCACGCAGTATGTCATTACTGTAGTGTCACCGTGGATCATTTGATTCCAAATCTTTTTTCAATTCAGTCATACATCAACGCTTACTCTGGCATCATAATGCTGCTACCAGATGAGTCTGAATGGCCTACTCTAGAGTACGAGATACTGAGGCCAATGCCGTAAATGTTTTGGCTTCTTCTTTTTATGAATAAATTGTTATATGTACTCTAGCAATAAATTTATTGTATTTTGTCTTCTTCTTTTAATCTCGTTATATAAAAATCACTTAAAGTCAATAAATAGTATTTATTAAAAAAAATTTTATAGTATGTTTTTTACATCTTCTTTATGTATGTTTCCTTTAGTTTGTAATTAATTTAGTTTGTTATAAATAATTTATAAGTAACAAAAGTTAATTGGTTTCATTCAGAAAAACAAAAAATTTAAAAATTTTTATAATACAATATTTTTATAAAATAAAGTTAGAAAAGTTAAAAAAAAGTTTATAAAAGTGGAGTTAATTTGTTAAAAAAGTTTATAAAAGTGGAGTTAAAATAACTAAAAAAGTTTAAAGGAAAAAAATAAATTGGAACAAGCAACAAATAAGCTCCATGAATTAAGAAAATTATTAAAAAAAAAATAAATAGTGAAATGGATTAGGCTAATCCATTTGATAAGTAAATGAGTGAGCTGATTAGCCTAATCCGTTTAGATAAATAATACGGAGTAAGCTCTAAAACGGAGTAGCCAACTCTGGTTGGTATTATGGGAGAAAACTTATTTTCAAAATGCATATAAAGGAATGAGGTGCAAGTATATTACACAAACAGGGAATTCACTCAAGGAATTCTGGAGTATTCAAAAAGAATTCTAAAAAGTCTTAAAAAATTTCTTGGTATTCAAAAGTCAATGAATTTTAATACTACATGGATTTTGTTGGATTCTCTCCCAAGATATGCTTACTTGAAATCCCTTCCGACTATGGAGATTTCTACGGACTTATTTTCAAAGCATTCATGCATCTGCTCTAGCAATAAAAACCTTCACCTACCCCTCAAATTTCTTCTTGTTTCATGACCGTTCCATCTCTAATAACATTGTCTCAGGATCCTTTATTTTTGTGTCTTATTTTTTGGGGCTCTGAAAGTATTCTAAAAAAATTGCATCAATAATTCGTCTTTTTATCCTATGAACGTCGGAGCCCTTATATTTTATATCACAATGACATCCATGAATGAAATTATAGAAAAGGAAACTTCAAAAACTTTCAAGAAGGCTTCTTTTATCCTCAAAATGCTTCAAACTCATTCTCAATGTATGTGTTATTGTGTTGTTACCGTGTTGATTCTGCCCAGACTTTTTGAACAAATAAAATTCGTTTAAAACAAATACAATTCTTTTAAAATCTATTTAAATCAATTAGAAAGTCGTCTAAATTCTACAAGGAGTCTACAAATTTTTTAAATCCACCAACTTTTTAAATTTTAAAAAAATTTAAGGCCCCGTTTGGTACATGGAATTCAAATTACGGAATTAGAATTAATGATTTCAATTCCAATTCAGGTATTTGGTAGCAAAAAACTTATATGAATTTGGAATTGATAGTACAAAAAATAAATTGAAATTGGTAAATTCAATTTTATGGAATTGAATCTCATGAAATTTCAATTCTAATTCCAATTCTAATTCCAATTCAATTCCAATTCCTTCAATTCTGTATACCAAACGGAGAATAGAATCCCAATTGAATATACTTCCTCCCTAGTTTTTAAGTTTAGTCCCGTTTTCGGAACACTGCACATTCTAATATGGATCGCAGGTTTTGGGAGTTTTCACCCGAACTACGTAGCATAAAGTTACTGCGATAAAAAAGTGGGGTCCACGCGTCAACGCATCAGCCATCCCCTCCGTAACTCAGTTGTCTTCCTCTGCAGCTGTTTTCCCATATCTTCTGCATGGACTCCCATGGCTACTCCTTCCCCTTCCTCTCTCTGAAGATCCTTATACTTGTAAATTGTATAGATGCAAACCCTTATATCCCTATGTCCCTTCCTCCCCTCCACGCCCTTCACCGTGAATCCACTCTTTTTGCACTGGGATCTTCACTAAGATCCAAGATCTTAACCAGTTCTACTTTTGTTGAAACCAGTTCCATCCTTCAGGTACTTCCACCAGATCTCATATTGTTTTTTTGTTCCTGTGGTGCTCAAATTTGCCAATTTGTTATCTTTAAATTAATTATCGTGTGATCAGTTCTTCAATCATTCCATTTCTTTTTTTAATTCTTTGGTGTGTAATCATTCAATTATTAGGTTGATATTCAATTTGGACTAATCTAGTTTTTGCTTTCTACTGGAATCTTTTCAAAGTTAGAACCTTTTGTCCTCGATTTTGGGTTTTTGATAAATTCATGTTTGATGTATTCAGTTGTGGGTTCAATTAAGTATTCGGTCATCAATGCTTGTGTGATCATAACCATATTTCTCATGGATTAATTGAGCTTCTTGTATGGTTATTAATTTTGGGGCAGATACCTGGGAATCTTGAAGATTTTTTTTATTTGTTACATAAATAATTGATTGAGCTGTGAATAGTTGAGCTGTGGTGGATCATTCAATGGGGACTGCTAATTCTAGGATTGAAGAAGATAAAGCCTTACAGATTTGCCGGGATAGGAAAAAGATTGTTAGACAAGCACTTGATGGGAGGTGTTCTTTGGCAGCAACTCATGTTGCTTATATAGAGGCATTGAAAATGGCTGGAAGGGCTTTGAGGAATTTCGTTGAGTCCGAAGCTCCAATAGATTCTTCAATCTATACCCAATCTGAAAGATCCCTTTCGCAATTCTCATTCTCTTCGGTGCCTAAATCACACCACGTTGATGTCTTTCCATCCCCTTCGCCTCCAACCTCTTCAAGGTACAATGCAAACCACATGAAATTTAGAGGCACCTTTTCCAAGGAAGTTGAGGAGAAACCCGATGTTTCGGTCACTGCCTCGGTTACATCATTCACTCCTCACAACTCCTTACTTTTGGATACCCCTCCCACCTCCTATGAAACCCCTTCAGCCGCTAATGAAACCCCTCCTTGGGATTTTTTTGGTCTCGGCCACACATCTCATGGAACTCTTGGCGGGCAGAGTAAGGCAGAGGACAATAGAGGTTCTCTATCAGAAGATGAACAGTACAGCAACGGTTCATCTCCGGAAATAGAATCATCACATGAATCTAATGATGGATTTGACGATCCATCTACAGAGACACTAGTTCAGAGGTTTGTTAATGTTAACAGGAGCAAGGAGGATGCCTCTGCTGATGAGTCTGTGATGTTGGAGGCAAAAGCTATGGTTGGGGAGAAAGGCAATGCCCCTGCTGAATTGTCACCGTTGAGACCTGAGTTTTCAGGAGTTGCCCCTGCTGTTAAAGATGACGAAAAGACACCACTGAAAGAAAACAATGTTGAGCATAAGGTTGCACCTAAGGATTTATTTTCTAGCATGCGAGATATTGAGCTTCTCTTCATAAAAGCATCAGAATCAGGAAGGGAAGTTCCATTGATGCTGGAAGCAAATAAATTTAATTTTCGTCCTATTGGTCCTAGTTCTGGAAGTAATCTCTCTCTCTCTCTCAAACACACACACACACACACACACACGCACAAACACTCACTCACTCGGCATTTTCCATGATCTGAACATTTTTTGTACTGTCAATGAATCAGGATATGAAGCCTCTTTTCATTAACGCTTTGTTTTTAAAAATACTTTTCATGTATGAACCATGGGCTATGTATGTTGATGGTGTTATGGTTGAACTGTGAATCTAAGTTATTAGAGGGGATGCATAATTTGCCAATTGTTTTAAGCTTCTACTCCGTATCTTCTAAGAATCTGAAGTTTGTTACAAACTTGATATTACTTTGATTGGAGATATCTGCCTTCTGTAGGAGGTTCGATTGCCAAGACACTGTTAAGATCTTGTTTCTCTTGCGGTACGGATCCAAGCCAAGCTCCAGTAGGTAAGCGTCTTAACTTTCTAGTATGCGGAGGATTTGGTTGGGCTTTGCACTATAAAGTCCTTCCTAAGGAGGCACACAATGGTGTACATTTACACCAGTAGAGAAATAAGTTTCTGTTATCCCCATTAGGTTCCTCGAAAAAGTTTAATATCATTCTTCACATGTGTCCACATAGATTTGTGAGGGAAACTCCTTGTTTGCGTACACTATGTTTGGTTTGAGGATTTTGAAAGGGAAAAGGAAAGAAAATAATAGGAAAAATACTTTTTCTTGTTTGGTTAGAGAGGAAAAAAAGAAAAGTGGAAGGGAAAGTGAATGTGAGAAGAAATGAACTAAAGCGAAGGAAAACAGATTTCCTTCCATTTCAGCGAGGAAAAAGAGAGAAAATTACTTTCTTTTCTTTTCATTTTTGAATTCCACGAACCGAACATAGTGTTAACTAATTAACTTATCAAATAAAGACATAATCCGTTGATTATACGGTTAGTTCTTGTCTAGTAGCACCAATTATTTACTTCTCAGCCAAATCAATGGCGTATCTTGCACCAAGGACTGGACCGGGCTGGTTTAAATGGTGAAAATAATGCATCACTATACATTTCAATGTAGAAAAGGTCAAATATAATAATAATAATAATAATAATAATAATAATAATTATTATTATTATTATTATTATTATTATTATTATTTCAAACGCAATTTATTTGATCTCCGTGTTTCAACTTTCAACTAACTCCTTGCACAAATTTGCTTGGTATAAATTGTTTTTCTTCTTTGTTCAGAGCAAGAAGAGGCAGCTCAAATTTCCCCCAAGTACATGAGATGGCATCGAACAACATCAATTTCTTCTTCATCCAGAAACCTCCTAGGCGTGAACTCAACTGATCAAACTGATGAATACGCAAACAATCTCTTCACTAACTCCTGTATGAACTCAGGAAGTCTTGCCTCAACCTTAGACCGACTACATGCTTGGGAGAAAAAACTATATGATGAAGTCAAGGTATTACATTTCAAACTTTTTTTGTCCAAAAAGGTCACAAACAAGTTGCATATGATATATTTAGTTAAATCAATAAATAAATTTAGAAGTAATAATATAGCTTCATGATTTACGAAAGTTGGAGCGTTACTGAAATGGAGAAGGTGGCAAGCCTTACAACTGAGTAAATTTCAAAACTATATATATATGGATGAACCACAACTGGCTGGTTCCATTTGAAGTATCAAAGTTAGTTGAGCTTAGCATTTTGATGTGGATTTATTTTCTCCAGGCTTGTGAGATTCTTAGATGTGAATATGATGCAAAACGAAAGCTGCTTAGACAGATAGAATCTTTGGGGGAAAGTCAACAGAAAATTGATAAAAAAAGAGCAGCTGTTAAGGATCTGCATTCAAGAATCGGTGTTGCAATTCATAGAATAAACTCCATCTCGAGGAAAATTGAAGAATTAAGAGATGATGAACTACAACCTCAGTTAGAGGAGTTGATTGAAGGGTATGCCTATTTCATTCGCGTAACATCTAATGGGCTATATGTTATAGATAATAAAAGGAAACAAAACATAAGGGATGGAGTATGAGTTTCTTTCTTTCTTCTGCTGTTTTTAGCGAAAGGGGATTATTGATTCAAACCCTGGACAGGTCAGATGGAGAGAAAGTTGGTTCTTCTAAATGATAATGTGTATAAATGTTAAATAAAAATCCATCCACTTTGGAGAGAAAGTTGGTACTTCTAAATAATATTTTTTATTTATTCAACAGATTAAGGAAGATGTGGGAGGGAATGCTCAATTGCCACGCGATTCAGCTCCACATAATTTCAATAGCACATTTACCCGGAAACATAAAGCTATCCATAAATTCAGAGTCTCACCGGCAAATCACCATCCATCTTGAGAATGAGATGATATCCCTATCTTCAACCTTTACAAAGTGGGTTGCTGCTCAAATGGCTTACGTGAAAGCTATAAACACGTGGCTCACGAAGTGCGTTTCCCTGAAAGAGCGATCATCCAAGAGGAAAAAAATCCCCCAAGAATCAAAGCTCAGAGAGTTTGGCCCACCTATATACACGATATGTAGTGCCTGGTTGGACATGCTCCGTGTTTTGCCTGCAAAGGAAGTTGCGGACGCTATGAAGGATTTAGCAGCAGAAGCCACTCCTTTCTTGCCGCGACAAGAGAAAAGCAAAGGAGGGAAGGGAGATGAGGCTGTGGATGACTTGGTTGTAGATTATGATCAATTCCGTACAAGCACGGCTCTCTTCCTTAGTAAGTTAAATAATTTTGCTGAATCTTCTGTTACCATGTACACCAAGCTGCAATGTTCTGTCCAAGAATCAAAAAAGAAGTACGCTCAGGTGAAGCCCGCGGACCAAGAACATTCTTTTTTACCACACATATAATGATATACTCCCTATATATAATAGTTACATTAAACCAGCAACCAAGGGATGGTGGGATCTGTACATGGGATAAAATAAAATGAGGTAAATTCATCTGATTTCTGTAAAGATTGGTTTGGGAGACAAAGGGAGATGAACTGGTATAGTCATTTTAAACTGTATAGAGATGAACTTTATAGGATTTATCAATAAGCAAAAGATGAAAAGAGTTCATAGTATTATGCAGAGTTTATTGCACCAAGACCCCATGTTGTTTGGTAAATGTGCACCGTTATTTCCTATGGTTTCATAATTTAAGTCGTTGCCCTTTATGGTTCCGATATTGTTATGGCATTGCCCCTCAAAACTAAAATATCCTTCAAATATAAAATATCTTTCAAATATTATGTGAATAGATTCACGGCTTCCTATGGTTTTGAAAATTAGCACAAACGCCCCTCCTTTCTTTATTCTTTTTTCTTTTTTTCTACTTTTTTTCCATAATTTTTTAAATTTCTTTTTTAAAATTACTTTTTTTTATAATGCTTTAATAATCCATTTTTTTGTGTTTGTAATAAAAATCACGTACGGAGTAAATAACAAGAATTAACGTACACTTCATTTGTCTCTGTTGGTTTTAGTTGTTTCAACTGATTTTATCATTTTTATTGTGTCAAAATGAAAAACTAGCTTAACAATCACCAAAAATACGAACAAGCTATTTTTGACGTGAAAACCCAAATCGGGAGAAAATTACAACCCTTTTTCAGTGGTATAATGCCAACGAAGAGATTTTATTAATGTTGGAGATTGATACATTGTACATAATATTGACTTTGTAGTCATGAATGGAGCTTTTAGCTCTATAAAGAAGAAAATAATACTCTAGAGTACATGGCTTATTTCTTTACTAAAGTGAGAGAGAGAGAGAATATAATTTTATGAGCTTGGTCTCCTCCCATATTGAAGGTGAAAGATCATTTTTATAGTGAGAAATGGAGGAGTAGTTATGGGGAGTGGGAGGTAATGGTGGAGGTATAAATGGTGAGAGTAAATATGGAAGGGAATTGATGATGACAGTAATTTGTGATGAGTAATTGATGACAATAATAATGATAATATTCATTGGGAATTTGGACTGATATGTCCGAGTCAAATAATATTTCCTATCATAAAATTCTCCACTTTTCCTATCATCAACTCAAGAAAGTAAATAATTCTTTCGAGTCCTATCTTCAATCTTTACGTGTTGCATTTTTGACGAGTTGGTAAGATCATGATTTGATAGTCGTCCCTGTCCTTCGCTGGTCTTTGAGCATGTTCGAATATATCTTTTGATCTTTTTTCTTTTTCCTACAAAAAATGTACTTCCTCTGTCCCAATTTATAACGCCTGTTTCGGTTTACGATGTTTGACTAAAATTATTTTCAAATCATTTTATATGACAAATGGTATAGAGTTAAAAAAATAAAAATTACATATTAAAATACTATATCCAAAGATCTACAAAACTAGTAGTGACAATAGTACTTTATTTTATCAAATTGCTAACGAAAATAGAGAAAGAAAGTGAATGAAGTTTGACCCTGTGAATAGTGAACAGGCACTATAATTTGGGACGGAGGAAGTATGTATTTTTCTGGTCAATTGAGCCTTACTCAGGTATAATAATATGGAACGAATTAGTGTCGCAATCATTCGTTTTGTCAACAGGACCATTGTTAACGCGTATTATGCATAACGTAATTAGTACCGTGGGTCGATACGAATCAAACTAATTGTTAACTTGGTGTTAGTCTCACTAATTGATGTAAGTAATTATCTCTTCTATGTCTCTCAGAGACTGAGTTTTATGTGGCTCGTTTAGAGGGATTAAATGAATCGGGCATTCCTGATAAGAGCTCGATTCTCTTTGTTTTTCTATATGGCCCTCTTTCGGACAACACTCCTCTTCCAGGTTTAAGTTTTTACTAGATTCATACACGTGCGTTGCACGGTTAAAATTTTGTTTCAAAACATGAAATTAAAATTTTAATTAAAGAATAAATAAATATCTCAATAGAAACTTAAATGTAGAATAAAGTATAAATTAAGTCCAACTAAATAATTTATTTGAGTTAGTTATTAGAAAGTACATACTCCATGATGACCTAGATTAACATCCACGCAATTGATATTTAGGCTCTCGACTTCCAGGGGAGCAGAGTACACATACACAAAATAATTGATAAAAGTTCTCAAGTTTATTTAAAGCGCAATTCAAAATCCAATAAACTATGATTATACTATACGGAGTATATTGGTAAGATTTAATAAGTGCATGATGAAAATATTGCATTTTGAATTTGAATAATATATCTTTCTCATTTCAAAATACACAACAACCCTATTTGAGAGGAATGAAAATTCTCACTGTCGAGCTAATCGGAACATTTTAATAAAATGAGCCATTGGTGCTAACTTATATTTTACCTAGGGACTAACTTATATTTTAGCTCATTGTCAAGCCAATAAGTTAGCTTACTGTCAAGCCAATAAGTTAGCTAATTGATAAGAATAAGTTAGCTCCTAAGTAAAATTCTCAGATCACAAATCAAAATATTTTAATAAAGTGAGCAATTGAAGCATATTATTTAAAGATAACTTAATCCCTAGGTAAAATATAACTGATACATTGATGGCTTTGTACAAAATTTCTTATCCTGCATAAAACCTCTACTGAGTGAAAAATGTTTGTAGGTCAATAAATTTATTTTTTGCATCACAATCCTTTAGTAAGAAGAAAGCTTAACATGCAACATGAGTAATCATGGTTAGTATGGAAAAATTAAAATGTTATACCTACGTAGTAATTATTTTTGCTAGCATTAGTAGGAATAAGTTTCAAACATAAGCTAAGTTAAATTGATCAACACTTTTAGAATTTAAAAAACAAATATCTTTAAACTTCTCAATGTTGTGTTGATTTTTCAATTTTGCAACAAAATCGGGGATTTAAAAAAAACTAAAGACAATGAGTTACAAATTATATTGACATATTCTATCATGACGCAGAGAAAAATGCCTCAGTAGTAATACCTTATCATGCCACAACACAAAGAGGGAAACTAAGAAAATAGTAAACTAACCATTAAGTTAGTTGATACCATTTCAAAGATTTGTGAAAGAATCTTGGGGCTTTAAATAAAATGTCTAGAAACAACGGCATAATAACAACAACAATAATATATACTCCGTACATATATAGTATATGTAAATTAAAGTAAATAATTTATACGACAATTATTTCAACATCTTATAATAAAAATAAAAATAACAATAATAACAACAACATAATTGGAATTGTCATATTAAATTTCATAGTTTGAATTTTGTGTATCAAATAGAGTCTTAAAAAATTTGAACTTAAAAATTGAAGAAACAAACTTTAAAATTCTTTGTTAATATATCAAAATGTTTTCTTCTCAAGAATGTGTACACTTGTATTGAAAATTTCGAGAAGCATGAACTCTTTGACGAAGCCAATTAAGCAACAAAATTACAATACAAATACTCTTACTTTTGTATATACAGTTTCTTCAAACAAATAAAAAAATGTTCAAAGTCAATCTAAACATAAAAAAAGGTGGGTGGTAGATTTTACTGGACTGAAATTGGCGAGCTACGCACATATCAGAAATTGTTTTAAGAAAAACTGTATCCTCGCTTAAGGTAGATCACAATACTCATCCAATATATGTAGAGGTGGCAATCGGATCAACCGGATCGGTTTCGGGTTGGATTTTTTCGGTTCGGATATCTTTCGGTTATATGTTATAATCGGTTCGGTTCAGATCGGTTAAACTTCAGTTCGGATTTGATTTCGGTTCTATACATTTTTCGGTTCGGTTCGGTTTCGAGTCGGTTCAGATACGGTTCGGTTATAAATCGGTTCGGATAGATTTCGGTTCGGATACAATTTGAGTCGGATATATTTCGATTTCGGGTCTAGTTCGGTTTGGATATATTTCGGTTTCGGATCAAATATATTTTGGATATATATTATTTTCTAATTAAAATTTAACTATCCGTATTTCTTTTTATATTTTATCATATTTATCAATCTATCATTAATTCAATACCTCATATTATTTTATATTTTTTTCTAGTTATATTATCTCTACCCTAAATAATCTTCCCTTTATGACTTTTTAGTCATATTTTACAAATTTAGACTTCAAATTATGAAAACATATATATATATATATATATATATATTTAATTATGATATAAATTTAATATAATTAAATTGATTTTAAAATTTAGTTTTGAAATATAAAATTTTTCTCACATCTACTAATATACTTATGTATATAAATGAAATGATAAAAGATAAATTCAAATAGTCTTATGTTCCATTTGAATACAATTTGGTAAAAATTGAGTAAAATTGGGTGAAATTAAGTGAATTTTATTCAATTGAGTGCAAAATTTGTAAATTATTGAGTATATTTGGTTGAAAATAGAGAAAATTAAATTTAATACAATCAAATATAATTAATTTTACACCTAAATGTAATGGTGTAGATCAAATTTGAAAATGATAAAAGTAAAGACTGCCGCTAGAGAGTTTTCAAAATGCTAACACTAGCATCTAATTTTATTGACTAATATTGAGTGAATTGGTTTGAAACTAATCAAATTAACTCTCAAATCAATAAAATTTATTGTAATGAGATGAAATTAGGATAAAATCTAGTTATTTCATACAATTCAGCATAAATTCCTTTCGTCCCAAAAAGAATATCACACTTCACTATTTAAAAATTACGGAAATTTTATTTGTTTGCGCGTTATCATTTATATGTATAACTTATCTTTAATTTCTACATATAATAAATTTAAGGCATAAAATTTTGTACTTTTTTTCAAGAAGATAATTCATTTTATGAGGGAATGAGCAAGTAATGTAATTAGTTGAAATGGTAAAGTAAAAGTAAAAATTTAAAAATATAATATGCTTATTGAAAGGCAAACATAGTTCTGAATTTATCAATTTTAGTTCTAATCGGATTCGGATATTATCGGTTTCAGATCTAATCGGTTTCGGATTTTATCGGTTTCGGGTATTATCGGGTTCGGATCTAATCGGTTTCGGGTTTAATCGGTTCGGATATTATTGGTTTTGGATCTAATCGGTTTCGGATTTAAATCGGATATGAATTATTTAATTCGGTTTCGGTTCGATTCGGATCATTTCGGGTTTTCGGTTATAG